AATTGAGGTTGTTAACGTAACGCTATTTCATATAAATGTTTGTTATAAAAGGTTAAACAAAATTATTTAAGTTCTAATGTGTGTAGTGCTCCAATCCAGTCTTAATTATTACCTACCGTATATTAGGTCTTATCTATATTAGGTCCGAGAGAAAAAGCCGGCGTAAAAAACTCTCGGTACTCTTTTAAAACAGCAAATCATCAAACAACACTTATTTAAAACAAATATCGCTTTTTACACAGCTTTTCTTTAATACATTTTAATAAATTTAAGAAATGTATTAAAGAAAAGCTGTGTAAAAAGGCTTACTATTAAGTCAACGATTATCTAGTTGATAAAAGGGCCTGGGACTAGTGCTAGACAGGCTACTTCTAATTAATTTGCGATATTTGTTTTAAATAAGTGTTGTTTGATGATTTGCTGTTTTAAAAGAGTACCGAGAGTTTTTTACGCCGGCTTTTTCTCTCGGCCTACACCCTCTGTCTTCTTTGCCGATGAGTGGAATAAGTGTATCTTATGTTCCATAATAAACATATTTTATTTTTATTTTATCTGAAGCTTTGATAGCTTTTAAAGTTTTATAAGAGTGCGGTCAAGCGGTTTATTTACTGATACAGTAGGTTCTAGCATGAGTGACAGAGTACAAATATTTCACACCTAACAGATACGTATGAAAATTCTATTGTTTCGCGTAAATGGTTTACACAAAAACGATGAAGATTACGTTTTATACAGACTCGATTTTTTTTAAAGCCTTTTATTTCTGTTAAGTACCAATAATTTAAATATAAATAATATTTTAAACGTTATGCTTTTCAAATAACACAGGCATAAGCTTACACTATTACCTAGTAGTAACTAGTTAATAAAGCATATTAAAATGCCTTATTTTTAGACTAAAACACGTTAATACAGACAACTTCAAATTAAAAGTTGCTCTTTCCGCGGTGATTTCGTGATCTCCAAGTCAGTTTGTTATTTTTGAGCGAAGTTAAAAGTTGTTTTATATGAAAATATTCTGGCATAGGACAATTCATATGTATTTTGGGGTAAGTTTATAAAATAATATTAAAAAAACAGCATTTTTAAAGAATTAATAAATTATTTAATTAATTTTAAAATATCAGTATCAGGTAAGTAAAAAAATGAGGTGAGTAACGAAGGAAGCGCTGTTAGTGAAGTGACGAGCGAGTCAAAATCATGGATTATCAGAATGCCAAGGCAGATGATAAATAATTATGAGGACAAAAGGATTGTATCACCACAAGGCTGCTTCATGACATGCCCCGGCGCGGGCGCAGTGTTAATAGTGTTACGGCAAGATGCGGACGTATATCTTACTCGCCTGCGTCATTGGTATCGCAGGTAATATTTGTTTCTATAGAAATATAAGCGATAAGGAAATTTACTGTTGAAATTCATTTAAAATGTTAGTATGTACTATGTAGTGAACATGTGTGAACTATGCAGTGTGTTCTTCGAAAGCGTCAAACTGGTTTTTATGCGTGTTTTTACTGTAATCTCTAGGGACAAGCAAAATAATGTTAAAAATAAATGTAAAAATAACCAATACCGGAACGTAGAAAATGTTCATATCATAACCTAGAGATACTAAACATTCTTCATGTATTTATCCTCATTTCTCTTTGTATATGTCGCAGCCAACTAGCTTAATTAGCCGTTCAATCAAAAGCCTAGCCGCTTTACTAAACAGCGCCGTTTAACAAGCGGTTATAATAATATTTAGTAATATCATACAGCTAGGCAAATATGTAACAACGTGACTATTATATAGTATTTTTTTCTTCGAATTTTGAATTTCACCCGAATGCCCTAAGCATTAGCCAGCCAGTTTATTAAATGTTGTAACAAATGCTACTGCTGAAAATCTTTCAGGCCGCTTTTTAACGGTGCTGTTTAGTAAAGTGGCTAGGCTGTTGATTGAACGGCTTATTAAGCTAGTTGGATGCGACATATATACAATACAAAGTATGTATATCCATCCGGCGACCACGCCGCGTGGCAGTAAAATGAAAATTCATACTTTTCGTAATGAGAAGAAATTGTTCACGCCTTATTTTAAGTTAACCCATCTGCCCCGGAATACCAGCTGAACTTCTGGTTCTCTTAAAACCCTCAGCCGAGTGGGAACGCATCTGCTTCTGGTAAAGTTTCTTAGGGTAGCTATAGCACTTACTTTGTAAACACATAAGTATAAACATTTAGTACAAAATAGGAGTGGCAAATAGGCCAAAATAGAATAAGTTTTTATCTATGTCGCATTATTTTTTTATTGATGTTTACTAAAGATCTTCTGGCCTAAGTTAGGGAAATTTTAAAGTTTACTATATTTGATGGTGCAGGGTTACATGGAATGCAAACCGCGCCAATTATCCGACATTCTTTACTAATACGTTTGCTAACTGCTCCAGGGTTATCCTTGTATTAATTTGTTGCTCCAGGTCGGACCTGGGAGCTGCGAACACTGGAAATTTTTGAATAAGGTATAATACGCTTTGTTGGAGTCTCATATGCAGGCAGAACTTGTTTTTATATGAAAGCGAAGTAGATATTCGGCAAACGGATCATGTCCTGTCAGAATTTGTACCTTGGGCAGGATTGAACCTTTCTTTGCATATGAGTGTCTATTTGTTAAAAAAAAACTAAATTCATTTTAAAAATCGTTGCAGTATGAAAAAAGGACCTCTGTTTCGTAATTAGTTAAAGACAAGTTCAATCATAAAATAATAGTCAAATCGCAATTATTTGGTGCAATAAGCAAATTGCAACATTATACCAAAAACAAAAAAAAACATTTTATTGATTTGTACATGTGCTTTGCAAATAAAAGATTTAATATTATTATTATTAACAATGGTTTTTTTAAACCTGTAGGTTTCTCTGTAAGAATATGCAGTAATATCTTTCAATAATCGCAAAAATAGGACGTCTCACAATATGAGAAAGTGTAGAAAATCACACTTAAGTAATCACGTAAGCATAAAATTATATATTTTTGAATTTGTGTGAATATTAATAATATACTATTCAAAAAAATCTTATAATATTATTGTATACAGCAATACTATTCAAGGTTATTATTATTGTATATAGTGTAGGTATTTACAAGCGGAATATGAAAACAATTTCTAGAAAACCTTGATTTTATTTTGTTTTATCCTTTAAATTCTCATGAATTATGATAAGGATAGGGCTAACCTTCGGTTAATAAATTTAATTAGACATTTTAGTAAGTTTCTTCTTACATTCAATCTACTCTCATTTGAACAATACAAGACCTTTAATTTAATCATTAATAAGTAACGATTATTTTTTCCAATAGAGTCTCCACAATTATCCGATATTTCTAGCATTGTAATCAATCATTGCAAGAAGTTTTTAAATAACTATAAACTCATTTTTCAAACATAACAATCGTTCTTACCTTGATAAATACTTTGTTTACATTCTACCACATTTTTTATTAATCTGTTTGATGTGGTGTACCGTGTAATACGGTATAGGTAATGTATTATCTAATGCGGAGCAATTGAAAAAAGAAATTGCCTTAGTATAGAAGAATTTTGAACCCATTGAAATCCTACCAAATAATATGTTGACATCAAAAATCTTTCAGCACTTCTGACATTTGCTCCTAAAACTAAGATTTCTCATATATTGTATTATTCGATACAAATATCCTACGTTAGAATTAACTTCTTTGTGTAAATTATGAAATTATTGTGGATGATTTTGGAATGCATATTTTCAACTTGTAACGTAAGATATACCAGGGTGTTTGGTGCATCGTTTGGCAAATCAAAATGGTGGATTGGGGGGGTCCTTATCTATTATCCCAGGCCTCACAAAGAGTTCTTGTGCCAACGGAATAATTTATGTCGATTTTTTTATTGTTTTCTTTAAATTATCCAAAATTTGACTTTCAAAGGTAAATAAAAAATAAATTATACAGTAAGTACACATAATGTTAATTTTTTCTTAATCTACAATAGTGTATGATTAAAGATATAAAAATGATTCGAAGAACATCAGCGCTTTTAGTTTTTTTTAATTAACGTTCAAAATTGAACTTACTTTAAAAAAAATATTTTTTTAGCACTGCGAGTTAATAAAAAAAAACTACATACTGCTGGCAAGTATTTTTTTATTTTTTGGATTGGTACACTATTGTAGACCCCCCCAATCAACCATTTTGATTTGGCAAACGATGCAACAAACACCCTGTATATCTAAATCTAATTACTTAATAATTAATGTTTGCTTATCATCGATTAAAGGTTTTTTCTCTAATATTAAAACACAATGATTTTCATATTTGATAAAAGTATTATCTAGATTTAAATTATGTACACAAAATTAATTTATACCCAGCAAATAATAATAACTAAATGAAAATATTTCTATATTTCAAACTATGTAATTATCTACTACAACTAATGGGAGTACGTTATCCACCATACGTCCATATCACGTTTATATGATTTATTAAATAAATAAAAAAAATGAATCAGTGGCGCTACAACCTTTTCAGGTCTGGGCCTCAGTTTTCTGTATCTGTTTCATGATATTTTTTTGTTAATAATCAAATTGTCCTGTACCTTATACGCGTGCGTGTATATGTGCGATGTTTTCCTTCTTTCCTCCGTTCTAGCGAATGTTAAATGCGCACATAGAATGAAAGTCCAGTAGTCCAGAAGTGCAGAAAGTCCATAGCTGGGAATCGAACCTACGACCTCAGGGATGAGAGTCGCACGCTTAAGCCACTAGGCCAACATTGCTCAACAATTTATAAGATTTAGGATACGTTTTTATCTATTCAAGACCATTATTTTACTTTGAGTAGGCTAGTAAATCTATATTAATAATAAAAAGTTAAACCAATAATTTGTGATAAGATATTAAAAATATTATTGTTGGGACATGATAGCATATTAAATAAAATTACACTTACAAATATACTGATCATAATGTATAATGAAATGATTTCAGAATCTACAAATATAGTACCAGAATATTTAGATGAAGAAACAGTAAATACGCAAATAGGCGCACATCATATTTTTCGAATTCAAGACTTCACATTTGTTACCTCGGATACATGTACGCTCATCTCACCAAATGGCACAACGTTTGATCTACTAAAAGATGAGGTTCCAGGCATTAAGAAACATACTGCCATTGATTCGTCATGTGGTGTTAATATCACAGTAAATTCGGAAGATTTCGTCGGAAACTGGTCTCTACAAGCAAACGGCACAAGGTTAAATAAACCAATAGAAAGAATACTGCATTTTGTCGTTATTGTAGAAGGTAAGAAGGTATTTCGTTGGTATAATGTATAATGGCATAATTATAATCATATAATACTCTGAATCTCCTATCAAAATCATTAAATAGTACGCGCAAGAAGTCACGTCCAATGATAAAATCGAAGTATGTTGATAAGTGGATAATCTTTAAGTTGAATGATAATTACAAATCGGCTAACAACAATGTAAACCGATAGTAATAAGAATAACATCATTGATTTAACTTTATTTTTTTAACTTTATTTGACATTGAATAAGTTATGGATATTATAAAATTTTATAAAATGTATTGATTTACCTACCCGCCATTTCTAATCTTACTTTACTTACTTACTTTCATTTTTCTAATCTTACTATAGGGACTGTTCAAGTATTACGTAAGCTGATTTATTGAAATTTATCCCTCCCTCGAAAATGCATTTCGTTTTCAATGTGTGGGTACATACATATGTGTAAGAAAGTAAATCATTACTGTTGACGTAATAACCAAATAAGAAAATCAAAGACCCCCCTCCCCCTATAGTGCTTACGTAATACTTGAACAGTCCCTATGGTAAGATTAGAAAAATGAAAAAATAGAGAAAAATAAATTGTAATATAGTATGTATAATTATTAAAAAATGACTTTTCATTAGTATATTCATCACATCATATAATATGTTTCAAACAAAATAAGTACAAATACCAATTTACGGATTGCAGAAGCGGTAGAAGCCTCTCCAAGCGTACTCATAGTTGGAAAGGGCAATAATTTCCATATCGGACTGGCAAAACCAACCACAGTACCGGAAACTTGCAAGTTGTATAGACCTCAAGGAATTGAATATCAAGAAAATACTACTGAAATTTCCAATTATTGTTCGTACAATATCAACAACGTTACCGCAGAAGACGACGGCACCTGGGTTATTGTGTATGGAAACACAATCACCTACAAAGCAGCGGTTCAAGTTACTGTTGTAGGTAAACTATTTGTGTCTTAAAAACAAGAAGTTACATAGTTTAAATATCCAAAATTCTATACTCGACGCGAGTTTTAAAACAGATATAAAATCATTTTAAAATGTAAACCAAAAATGATAATTCACTCACACTGTTAGTGAAGGTGAATAATTAGTCATTTGTTTACAGTAAAATTTCAATTTATCATCGTTATAATATTCTACATGATTCTGTCTCTTGTAATTTTATGCGTTAAGATATATTTGTGCCTTACTGTATTTTTTTACTTCAAAATTTTAATATCGATTGATTCAAATACATTCATTTTATAGATATATTATCTTCTCATTGATATGCTATTATTAGATGCTGCTTTGTTTTTCATCTAAAATCGCCACCAATCTTATCACTTTACCTTCAACATCAGAAATTTCAAACGTTTACTTGTTTCAGGCAATTTTAATAAGAATAGTACCCAGGAGTTCGTTTGGACCTTGGGCGCTCCCGTTAATCAAATTATTGGACCAGAAAATGCTATATATTGCAAAATAATTGATTCATATTCAGTTACTGTTTTTGAAGATTTTGGAAGGTGTAATATTTCTATCGATAGAGTTACTTCTAAACATGCTGGATATTGGAAGATGTCAGTTGGTATGCACGGCAGTGTGCTACCAGAAGAAACTATTTTCACTGTCGCTGTTAAGCATGCTGGTATGTAGTTTTGCAATAAGAAATGCAATACGCTCGCAAAATTAGATTTTATATACATAGAAATTAACCCTTTTTCGCAGAATATACAAATAGTCAATTAAACAATATTTAAAACAACTAGGAACAAATCTTTAATGTACAAACTACTGTCGAAACCTTTACGTCCATCTTTGAAAATCACCGACCAATCGTTCCTATCTTTTTTTTTTCTTTCAAGACAGACGTAGGTAATGTTTTGTAAATAAAGGTTTTTAAAAAAATTATTGAATTTACATTTTTGACTATGACATTTATAAGGAATTTTCCATTTCAGAACCCAAGTCAAAAATTATCTCATATGTGGTAGTAAGAGAGCCAATAGTGACGTTGACATGTTATCTCGAGAGCAAATTTCCGGTTGAAGCTTGCAAGTTCCGTGATCCATCTGGCAAAGTTCTGCTCGCTCATGAGGGAGTCAGTCAGAGCCGATACCGCTTCCACGGAGCCACTGTTATGAGGTTATTCTTATATTATTTATACGGCAAACAAGCAGCTCACCTGATGTTAAGTGATACCACCGCCCATGGACACTCACATTGCCAAAAGGCTCGGAAGTGCGTCGCCGGTACTGCATACGATGTTTTGCATTTTCTGAGAAGATTTACTATGGTAATATACATATATATTTTTTTACCATAGGAAAGTAGAGATTTCAACGAACTGAAAGCACACCAACTTTTTGAAAAAAGCTGAAATTTTGACGTCAGAATTTTCGATTGAAAATTAGGGTGTTTTTTCGATATTAATTCAAAATAAGGTGAAAAAATAAATATTTTTAATCAAATAAATTACAGTATATTTGGGACATAATAAGGTAAGTTTTCACCAAATTTCGTTAAAAAAAAGAAATTTGTAAAAGATAAAAATTTTAAACCAAAAACTTGTTTTTTTGAATTTTTCACATAAATTTTGAGGTTATGTGAAAAATGTGTGAAAACAAAAGTTTTAGATCTTTTTATTACCTACAACTTTGCCATTTAACTTTCTTCGATAGGACTTTTAGTTTTGCCGGAAATCGAGATGAACCGTTTTTTACCCTTAAAACATACTGCGTCTCACATCGGTTTAGCGTGATCCGATAGGCGTGTTAGTCTGAGTCTGGTAGAGCGGTAGATTAAAATAATATCAAAGAAAAAACTTGAATTAATATAAAAAAAAAATTACTGCAAAAAATAAATAAATAATTATATTGCATAAGTTTATAAAAAATGCTATGCAATAGCTTTACCGCGGCAGTCCCCGAGTGCCACATTCTGCTTGATTTTTCCTCGTCCTTCACTAGGTTTTGCTTGTTACGACATTTTTTCATCGTCCCATCTTTTGTAACCTTTGCATGATAGTTTAGTTGCAAAGTAAACAAATGTCAAAAACTTTTAAAATTTATAGGACTTATGACACCGTCGCTCAGAACCACACTTGCGCTCTCCAAATAACTGAACCCGTGGTATCAGACATTGGTCTTTGGCGATGTGGTGTTCAGACTGAGCATGACACATACTTCGGCCACTTATCTGTCCGTTGTCCTTGGGTCATTAAAGATGTTGAAGTTGCAGCTGCGATTATAACAGGTACTTTTGATCTTTACTTTACCAAAATTTAAATAATTTTACCGGAATAGATTTTACTTTTCACAGAATATAATATTTCATTTACTTATTCGCATGAAATAGAACTTTATGAACGTTGTTTTAACAATGTACCCGCTACCTCTAAGTTTACACCCAACGACCTTTGCCTCTCATTTGACAAACTAAAACGCAAATGAAAATGCATTTACAGTAATGTATAAGATATGACATACGTAAGACATACTTAGAGCTAAGTCCCCCTTACTAAACTTCCACACGACTCCACTTTATAGTCTTTGTTTTTATCACCTTGGTCATGTACTTCATGTATTTTGTCTATCACCTTATATAAAGTGTTCTTTATCGTATTTTCCAGAGCCAACTCTATCAGCGGATCGCTTTTCAGTTTCTGCTTTTGAAGATGAAAGCATTACTCTGTCCTGTTCCATTCAGGCTGCTATCCGATACTGCTATTTCAGAGCTAGTAATGGCACTGTCTTCGATGTCTTCCCTGGTAAGTATGTAGTACGGCTAACGAGATTACGTTTTCCTTTCCTTAATTTATATCATCAACTTTTCAGCTCTCAGTAGAGCTCTTTGTAAAAATGCATACTTGTAGTGAATAATTATAAAAATTCTTAATACACGAAATAGTATCCGGATTAAAAATATTCGTGCCTTGTTCTATTCTTAGAACCGTCGTGAAGACGGTTCTACTACTTTCTTCTATGCGCGTTTAACATTTTCTCTAACGAAGAAGAGAAGAACATCGTGAGGAAACCAGCAGACAGGCGCAGAAAACTGATCACCTACTCGCCTATTAAAAAATACAAATGAACTGAATCCCAGTCAATTGCAGGACAATCAAATTATGTGGGAGCTGGATTTGATGCTGGTGAATGTGGCATTCGGTTCTCGGGCCTCTCTGCCAACGATAGTGGAACTTGGAGCTGTCATGTTGGACTTACCGATGCCTCCAAGGAGCAGAGACGTCCTATCTCAATCAGCATTCAAGGTACAAACATAAACGTTAAAAGGATTCTATTGTTATTGAAAATCTAAATTAAAAAACATCACTTTAAAGCAGCGTTTCTCAAGCGGGGGTCGCAGTCTGTTGAAAAATAATAAATACAAACTACATATAGGGGCAAAAGATTCGTTTATTAAAGGAATTAATAATTATAGTGTAGTGTTATAAAACTAAATTATAATTTTACAGTGACGGGGTCACTAGACGAAGTGAAACATTACTTAACTTTTTGGCTTTTTCGTGGGTCGCGACATAAAAATGGTTGAAAAACGATGCTTTAAAAAACAATGTCATACATTTTTAAAATTTTCGCACTCATTACAAAATATTACTTCTAACCAATCATTTCTTGCTTGTCTTTTTATTTACTTTTTCAGTGTTTGATAAATCTCATTACTTTTTTTTCAGAGCCTCTTAGAGTGAATCAATATTTGCATAGAAATCATTTAATAATCGAAGCAGACGCTCTCCCGAGTGGATGGATAGACTACTGCGTCTTCGTTAGAATCGACGGACTAGGTAATTATAACCTAGCTTTTAGTTTTCTAAGGCATTGCTTGCTTGCGTTTTTGCCGCGCACCACTGCTATGTGGAACCAGCTGCCCACTGAAGTATTTCCGAACCAATTCGACTTAGGGTCCTTCAAGAAAAGAGCGTACCAATTCTTGAAAGGCCGGCAACGCACTTGCGAGCCTTCTGGCATAGTGAGTGTCCATGGGCGGCGGTATCACTTAACATCAGGTAAGCCTCATGCCCGTTTCAAAACCTCAAACAAAAATTCTTTTTGAGCCCGTTTGCCTCCTATTACATAAAAAAAGCCTTAAGATTATTTCGTAAGTCCGAGCTGAGGTGAGAAAGAGCTGGGTGAAGTGAGTACGAATCGAATGAGTGTGTAGAATAAGAGCATTTCAAAGAAGATATATAAATTTCCATCCCTCCCCTGAACACGAATAAAACGTCATTATGGTTATAATAAATATTTTTTATGGATAACTTGAAAAGCTTTATGCCTTTTGGTATAATACGAGATCTATTCGTGTCAAAAAATAACCTTAAATTATCTTACAAATACAAAATAATACTGTTATGTTATAAAGGAAATTATTATATCTCAGGTTTTACAACCGACAACGCTCCTATGGGCTATCGCACCTCTATACAACGTGCGACCGGATCCTGCACGCTTCGTATTTCGTCACCCACTACCCTTGACCGCCACCCTTGGACTGTAATGGTCAAGGTCAGCGGAAAGGAAGACTTGGTGACCCAAGTCACTGATTTAACCTTGAGGGTGCCTGATACAAGTGTTACAGGTACAGTATTTTTCATTAATACGGTTTTTGAATCAATATTTCGCCATAAAATAAAGTTTTGGAATCTTCATAAATGTATTTAGCGGATCGCCTGTTTATACTAACAGCCGTTTTCTAATGTAACATATTATGATTTTATTACATTATTCTGTAAAATAAAGAAATTAATTTAAAAAATGTTGTACAGTACAGCCCGTATTCTAGAATGCCAATCAAACTTGAATGTGGTTTCAAGAAATGTCTGTTTTTTCTGTGTGAAGTTTGACATATTTGACAGCTCTTAAGGCGATATTGTGTCTTAAGATACGAGTTATATGGACTTAAATATTCCTAGAAGCTTACCAACACAACAAATTAAAAAAAAAAACTAATATAGAATTAGTTTATACTATATACGTACCATAAATAAAAGATGTGCATGTTTTCCTAAAAAATGTTTTAATTCTATTTCTAAAAATTATAAAATGTTCCAGGATTCCGTTTCCCAACATTATGGGTGATAGTGATGGTTGTGGGCCTGTCTATGCTCCTATTGTCGATTGTACTCGGGCCTCAGAAGAACCGTAAATGGGTCGCTGCACGCTCAGTTTCTGTACGGAACAGCTTCAGAAATAGCATCAGGAAACCCCCGCTCAACAATACACCAACGGTGGCTTAATTAAATATAATTCATTGTTTCATGGCATTTTTACTTAAAATATCTATTTATTAAGTTTTCTTATATTTTATGATGAAGTGTATCTATGGACATTTTAAATTCCTGACAAAGCATAATAACTTAACGGTGAAATTATTTTATATCTCTTTAAAGGTTAAGGTTACCTTTGACATTATTCCAAAGGATTTTTATAGGATGTTAAATCAGAAATTAAGGATAAATTACATTATTTCATTGTTTTTGTTTCAATAAAAATATTATTATAAGAAGTTGTTTCATTCATATTGTCAATTAATATATATTTTAACAACATTTCATTCTAATCGTCTTATTACACACAAATGTAATAATGACTTTAAGGAGTTGGAATACAAACTCGCTTATCAAGCCACATTCACACATCTTTAAGCGTTAGCACTGTCAAATATGTAAGACACAAAAAATTGCATTAAAAACTTTCGAAACTAGATCTATGGTATTGTCTTTATTTTCATTGTCAATCTAGATTACGCGCCAATAACAAATGTCGCAAATCGCAATACCGTTTTGGCGGGCAAAAAATTAAAGCCATAAAATTTCTTAATAACCTAAAAAATCCATTTATTATTCTACTTACTTTATAAGTAGTACAAATTATCTAAAATTAAATCAGATAAAGATAGATTAGGTCATAATTTTATCTGTTATTAACAATGATACAATGAATTAAATTCAATACAGCAGTAGATAGAAGTAGAAATGAAAGTATTATTTATTTTAAGTGTATTTATAATCACAACGTGTGATGGTAAGTCAAGTTACTTGCAACTAGTGTTAAAGGATAGCTGTAAAGCTTAATAAATCTTAATTTACAAATCTTGGCACTAGGACTAGCGTCATACAAGCAAAATTCGGTTGCGTTTTTAAATTTGAGTTTCATACAAAAATTTAGGGCAGCTACTTTCCTAATTTAATGTAGTTAAACCTTTTGTTAAATATAGGTATTTTGATTTAGAAAATGCAATTATTTGAACCATAGCACAATAGTGCGCTGTATGTATTGAGTGTTCATTCGAATTACATGCACTTGAATTGGAATATTGAGCTGCCGGCAGTTAGGCCTACAATTATTTTTATATAAACAATAATAAACAAATGACCTTTGACCAAAGTACACGACTTTGAAAACCTTACGGTCTGGTTTTGTATAATTCATAAACGTGAGCGCTTCTCTGCTTCTTCGCTTCTCTAGTGATAATATAAAATTAAAGGGGCAAGAAGGAACGTTGCGTTCGAGTGTGATTGTCGAAAGGCCGTAATAACTATTGACCAATCACAATGGAGCGCACAATCTTTTCAGTGTTTCGTTTTGAATTCTCTCTGGGGACTGCCTACCCGATTTTCGGGCTTATTTTATTACATGTAGTCCACATTCTTAATAATCATAATGATTTTATTTCTTACATTACTTACTTTTTGTAAAAATTACCAGCCAGCCTCACTAGTCGCATTGGAGGCGGATCCGTGGGTGACATTGCGAAGTATCCATTTGCTATATCGTTGCTACGACAGCAAGGTGAAGTCTTTCGACACCAATGCGGTGGAACCATCATCAGTAACAACGCTATTTTAACAGCTGCTTCGTGCTTCTTTACTGGCAGCGTGTATGTTTTTAGCTTTATTCTAAAGTTAGATGTGTTTAACAATTGTTATGCCAGCATTAAGTCAATAATTATAATCGTTATTTGTTTTAAATATAGCTGCTAGCCTCTACAGGCAGAATAATTTATCCTGTGTAATGTGAGTTGATAATATAAGTTTATCGAGACATGAAAATATTTATTGTAGTGTATATTAGCCAAACAACAAAGCACAAAGTATTGTTTGGCCCGATCAGAAGGTCAACATTAAAGTACAAGAAACAAAAGACAACAAACAAATTACGTCTGCGGTTCTAACGATTCTTGCCAGCTTAACTATTCCTATAGTATGATAATTCTATAGATATCTATCTATGTATGATAATTCTATAGATATCTATCTATGTATGATAATTCCAGAGTGGATGATGCATTTTTATGGCGCGCTAGAGTAGGCTCGTCATATTCCAACCGTCTAGGCCTCATTCACATCATAAGACGTATCACAACGAACCCAGACTTCCAGCAGATCACAAGGGTGCATAATGTAGCAGTTGTTCGGCCCACCATACCTTTTACCTATGGGGAAACTGTCCAAGCTGCTTATTTAGCTGGGGGGGCGTATAGCTTGCCCGCAGCAGAAGGTGTGCAAGCTATTGGCTGGGGAGTTACATCTGTAAGTATGTTTTTTTTTGTTACGGGTAGATTTTGATACATTATATATAATTATTAAATAATAGGTAAAAAGGTACAAAACATCAAAGAAGTGAAAGCTTGAAAGCTTAAATCGTTGCATTTTTAATGTTTAGATTCTTAGAGTGTCTTCCTCTCTTAAAACCTTGTATGACTGTGGACTTTGGACTGTGTCCCAAAATTGTCTTGGATTTTGACACGAGTTTCGTTTCTGAATCTTGGCCAGAATCCTTATGCCATAAAAAGCCGTCTTTGCGACAGCAAAACCCTTAACCTCTGAATAAATTTCTGCTGCATATCTTTCTAATTACATGAATGTTATTGAGTGACAATTAAGTGATCGGCCTTCTCTGTCTAATATCCTCGATTTTGAGGTTTATGGTGGTATTCTCAAGTTTTAGTCCTTAATTGACTTAGAAGAGACCTCAATGTTGATAGCGCTTTTACCTGCTGTTTCTCTTCTATTTATAAACTAGAAGATTCTTTTTAGAAAGTATGTAGTATTATGTTTTTCAAGTTCACCCAGTTGTATCCAAACTATTTTAGGAATGTCAAGTTATTATTAATAATAAGCCTCATTAAATACTTCCAGACCAATGGCGTCATCTCGTCAGATCTCCGTGAAACAACTATTTGGGTGACCGACTTCGCGACCTGCGTTAACCGGTACAGCGAGCTTAACCTCACGGTCACCGACAATATGCTGTGCGCTGGATGGCTCGGTGTTGGTATTCGGGGACAGTGTGAGGTGAGTTTTATCTTCATAGAACAAAAGATAAACGGACTGACGGTGCCAGTAGTAACACAAATGCCAAACTAGTAGATAGCAAGTGTATTTCCGAACATACATAGTTATTTAAGTTGTAAACCGCGAGAAAATTAATTTCTTTCACGATCATAAGTGTACCAAAGTTACGCGATTAAAATATTGTATTTGGATTTTTTGATAATGCAATATTAATTGTCTAAAAGTGATATCTAATATATAATCATTATTTCAGGGAGATACGGGAAGCCCCCTCCTCCATAACAACGTAGTGGTTGGAGTGTTTTCTCATAGCGAAGGTTGTGCTTCTCCCCGATATCCAGGAGTCAATACTAAAGTATCTTCTTACTCACGGTGGATTGAAGACTCAGCCGTTGCAGCTTTGTAAAAAAACTAATAAAAATAATATTGATTAATCTATTGTTTTAATCGCTCGTTATTCTATCTTATTCCAGTGAAATTTGCTAAAGAATGTCCTTGTCCGAAGGAGGTGGAGGCTTACAATTTGTGTAATTAAAAAAAAAAACAATCGGAAAAGATGAGATATTGATCTGCTGAAATCTACAAAACTTACAATTTAGATTGAAATGACATTATTCCACGATAATGTTTCGTGGAATAATGTCATTTCAATTTTAATTAAATATTTTTTATTAAATTAAATACGACCTAAGCATGCAAAACGGAATAGAATTTTTATGCGTTTATTTTATAATTTTTATAAATAAATTATTTTGTTAGGTATTTAAGACACGAAAACTACATTTTCAAAACCACTTTTTTTAGGACTAAAGACTTATTTATCTTTCATTACTACTTTATCGCTTAAATTACGCCATAAAAACAAATTGATAAAATGTAAATGTTTTATTATCAAGTCTTTTACTTTTTACAAATAAATTACTATTTTACCATTTAAAACGCAACAAGTTTATCATCAATAATGTACCTAATCATTGTAAAATATATTTGGAGCGTAGACTGTGCGAGTAGCGAGAACTATAGAAACGTAGGTAATGTGAAGAATTTAGACTCTTGCTTAAGTTACTATAAATCCTGAGATTATGGTAGAGAGAATGGGCAAAAATTCATAGAAACTCAAAGTCGCACAGTCAAAGTTTATTCTTCTAAACTTCAACTAAAACATCCCGTCTTCCTGAAGTTAACTTTTACTATTGTGAATTGCGCATAGAAAAGAAATTGGTGCACAGCCCGGATTTGAACACAGGACCCAAGGTTGAGGGTAGCGCCCACACTGCCTTAAATTAGAATGTAAAAGCAGGTTTATATTCTAAATACCTACTCGTAGTTTCTTATATTTCAAATAGTTGTCAAGAAAAATATCAATCGTTTGCTTATCGAGCCCAAATAGATAACACTATCTATGTAATCTCAAAACACTTAGAGGGGTGATAAAACAAATCCAAATTCGGTATTACTTGGGTCATTCACGCCTAACCTAACGTTGTATTAAGGCAAAAATTTTGTCAATAGTAAAGGGATTTTTTGTTCATAATCGTCATAGTTCATATATTAATCATAGCATGACTAGCCTGTGATTATTATAATCAGGGTAAAATGACACTTTACTTTTGAGATTAATTTGAAACAAGCGTTCCTTATGAACACATAAGGCAGGCTTAAGATGCGTTAATTCTGCTAAATTTCAAGCAAATCGGAACATAAAATAGTTTTCCACAAATATTACCTTACTCCCGGCAGTCTCCAGGGTCTATACATACCATAATTCATTGCAATCAATGAGCGGTATACACGTGAAAGCGTAACAAAGTCATATTGTATTGATATTTGATATGTAGTATTTTTATAAAATAATGCAAATTGTTTCAGCGGATACATATAGAAAAATATTTTTGGGTGTCAGTTATTGAAACAAATCACTAAAACAATGGCTTACTCAGGTGTGACATCAATTAAGACAGCTGTTCATTAGGAAGATATTAACTGTGAAATATTTGTGTTTTTGATTGATTTTTTTAGTAACAATTTGTTCGGCCAAGGCTGCTATTACTGTATCTTTGAAAGTCTAGAAGATAGTCAAACTTTGACATCACAATATTTTAAATTTAGATTTTTATCCATTTACTCTGCGTGCATCTATGATAAATATTTGGCTATGATTGACTTTTAAAGGGTTAGAATTTTTTAACACATTTTTTACCATTTAAATAATAAATACATATTGTTTACAATTTTAAACTCCTCTGCTTCAGGATCCGCAATAATTATTTACATTTTAATCTAACAACGGAAAACCTGTCTGTACTTTTTCAAGAATGTGATATCGAAAAATGCGATATGGATATTCAGTTTACTTACATTTAAAGTCATGAACACACGCGTTTATTATTTATTTTATTTGTTTGCTTCCGTAGCGAGTATCGTTGTGAATGTTGACGAACCGAAATTAATACGTGGGTACATTTTCATTATAAGATTTACTAGTTTAAACCGGATTAAATAGGAAATATATTGTCGGGTATTTTTTAAAATTTTAATATAATCTTAATTAATACTATTGTTTTTAGTATAACGTACGCGTTAACACATTAAATAGAACTTCATAAACCGATTTAAGCCTTAATTTATATGATTTTAACTAGATATCACTTTTACCAAGGGTCGACTCATAAATATAATATAATAACGTTAAACTGTATCAGTTTCATTATAGGACGTATTACAACGTCTTTAACAAATACGTTATAACTTTATAGACTTAAAATCGTTCCATAACTGATCGATCCTAAGCCGCAATAAACTAGCGGTCTGCAGTGTGACACGAGGTAGACAAGAAAGCAAGCTTCCTCATACTGGCGGATACAGAGCTACCATAGGCGGTAGTATCACTTACATCAGATGAGCCTGCAGCCCGTTTGCCTCCGGTCCTTAATTAAACACTATAAATAAATAATTATAATGTTTTTTATCTGTCCAACGCATTTAAATAATTTTTTAGTTGATGTAAATAATGAAAAATTTTTAAAACGCGCTTATCGTATGTATTTTGTTTAAGCAATTAATAATGAACTAAAAATTCAAGAGTTATTTATTTTTATTATTAGTAATTAAAATTGTCTTTGGTTCACGTAAATACTAGATGAAAATAAAACGTATTTTACGTACATAAACGAAACTTTATTACATTATCTATCGACGTTTTTAGTTCTTTACAAAAGTCGTGTTCTCCTGTGAAACACTTGAAGCGTCTGTCGTAGAGTTATGTGAATAATGTGATAAATTCGAATTTATATCCTAGAAGTTAATTTAAATTGTTATATTTTAACAAGTTATATAGTAATAATCATATTATATTCATATTATATTGAGAATACATTTTGTTAGAGGCAGATTTCACGCCAATTTCAATTCCTCTTCATGCAAGAGCAACCCAAACATTTATTTAATTTAACTGCAATCTTAAATGAGCGTTGTGGGCTGTTTGAATTCAATCCATCAAACAAATCGTTTTACAACCTACCGAGAACTTGAGACAAAATCGCTTGTCAAATGAACAAGCGATTGTCGAAAAGTGATTTTGTCTCAATCGTTGAAAATAATATATTATTGCAAAGACTTATACGAATGTGTATTCCAAACTCTTTTTAAATTATTATTCTAGCGTGTCTGCATAGAATCGGTGTGAATATTTGCTTATCACAAAATTCATGGAAATTTGCTATGTATGTGTGAAAGTGAATAAACTTTACAAAAATATCAAATACATTTCCAGATAACGAGAAAGTCGAGCTATCTCCACTCCTTATTTCCTGTGGATTGAACGATATTATCATCATATCAGCGCCAATTTTAACCAACACATCGAAGTACTATCTCCACAGACCTAATGGAGGAACAATTACACTTGACTTGCAACCCACTATCCGTTCTAATAACGTATCTACGGACGAATACAATGATATACAAATAACGTACTTTATAACAGGTGTACGAATAATATGTCCAGTTAATAAATATAGGATTTTCAATGTTAATGAGGGAGGCAGTATTTTCGACCCAATCGATACTTTTCAAGAAAAAGAACTACAATTGGAGGGAAACGATTTCATGATAGGCCCTTTAAGTATGGAGGATCATGGGAATTGGGTATTAAGTATGTATTATAAAAGAAATGAAAGGTGGATAGAAGTCTTCCAAGTTATAAGTGTAGAGATTACTGGTAAGTCAGATACGCTGTTTGAGTTTTAAGCTTCGACTTCTGGGGCATCTAAACATCTAAAACTAAATACTTAGATGTTCTTTTCCAACTAAAGTACTCTTACCTCTCTTTCTGTCAAATTGTGATACACAGTGATGGAAAGTGACAGATGAGTATTTAAAAAATAGTGCAAGTAAACCGGGCCCTATTAGATACACCGTTTAAATGTAAAAAAAATGGTTGTCTGTAAAGTCGGTTTACGGACGATAGTTTAATGTGACAACGTCATCAAAACATTGATTATTGCATACTCTTATGAATAAAATTGAATCATTTTTATTGAATTATCACTATTTTGTACGGGTACAAAGAGTCAGCCAATCGAGTGGAAGAGAATTAGATACGGCGCAAGCGTACTATAAGCGCAACGGGACAATGAGCGTAAGCGGACAATATGTCATACTTTTTCGTGCGTGAAGCCGGCGTTCATGGATTTATTAAACGTTTTTACGTCAAAACGTATACCCGAGGAAGAATGTGTGGATAAAGGAAGGTTTGAAGGGCCCGAGGCTGTATCTGTAATTTTTGGTAGCACGTTAAGTGTATTAAGAAATCGCAGAGATTGTAGCCGTAGATTGTCGGTGTCGCTACAAATTTTACATGATGTAACAATTACCGTTTATATATTTCCGTGTGACAAAGAATAGCATAAGAACTAATAAGCGTGGCACATGTCTATATAGTAATAGTCGATATACACATCAATGATTTATTTTATTTGGATTTTCAGAAATTATACCAGCAAAACCACCTAAGCCAGTGTTAAATGTAGGAGAAGATTTAGAAATCAGTTTCGCATATCCAATAGATAATATGACATCCTGCGAGATCACAGCGCCAAGATCTACTTATGATCGGTTTTACGATAGAAGCAGACACAGTTTTGAGTCTTGCGGATTTTTAATACCAAATATGACACGAGAAGACGCTGGCCTTTGGAGAATAGTTGGTGTTGGTCAAATTGTGTATGAAGCAACAGCATTTGTTACCATTAAAGATGTATTTTTATAGCATTTTTAGTTTAATTTATAATTTTACTATGCCGTTTTCACAGAAAAGTGAAAGAAGGCCTGTATGTCAAAAGTCACTTATGAACGTCAAAAAAATGTAGTTCTTTCTTAATGGAACGAATATAGCTTTACATCCTATTTTATTTCAAACTATAGTTAAACTAACTGCATGTATAGTTAAATACATGGTTTATATAGCTTGGTTAAATAAAAAGCTTTTAATTATTTTACTTATAAACCACATTATAGGGAGTTTATAAAGAAAATATTTTTTTATTTTTTATTACAAAATTATTTACACAAATTATACTAACTACTACAAGTTATAATACAAAGACAATTTTATGTTTTGCCAGAACTACAACATAAATCATCACCAAATTCATCATCTAGTACATCACTCGCTCCCACTCCCAGAATTAGAAGCACTATGGCTCTTCTGGGTATTTGCATCTGCGTCACTTCCTTCATCATCCGAGTCCTTGAGAGCCTTCGCCCGATCGAGTCTTCGAGCACGGCGCGTTTCCATATCAGAACCATCTGATTCCGATGAATATATAGCTGAGGCTTGACCTGAAATATTTTAAAATAATAATAATAAAATAATGAATGAATTATTTATTTGCAAAGAAACTGTTACACAAAATGAATGAATTACAAAAAAAACCTAACAATCAGGCAACTTAGCATGCAAATGACAAAATATAATTAAAAACAGTAAAATTATTTATAAAGTCACAATATTTTTATATAGACTTTTTGTATAGTTTTTTGTCATTATGCCTTGCCTATTAGATTGACAAATGATCATGAAACAGATACGATAGATCATGAAGCATTTTATACCTTTAGCTCCCTGCTTGTATTTATTCTTGATAGCGGCCAGAGACACTCCGCCTTCGTCTTCAGAGTCATCCCTATTGGCTCTCGCAGCAGTTCCACCACCGCCTGACCGTCGCTTGGGTCTTGTAGAAGCGCGGGAACGCATCGCTGCGCGGAGCTCCATTTCTTCTTTCTGTAATTATTTATGGATTCGACTAATATATATATAATATGGTTACGTCCACATATGAACGTCAGAAAATTTATGAAATAAATTTAAATTTAAAGTATCAATTCAAAGGCGCAGTACGGACGAGAAGAAGTGGCAATAAAACCTCCGCCATTTAATAGCCAAGTATTTTCTTTTACATGATGCTATTTATTTTTTTTTTTGGAAGGAACCGTAAGCTTGCTCCAAATGACTTGGAAATAATCATTATTAAAAAAATTGCCTCTATCAGTAGTAGGCATGGAGATATAGGAGCACGCACATTATATGTAGTTAGAATAAAACACACTGTGCAAACACACTGTGAATCAAGGTGGTTCAGAAATATCATTTAATTGTCGCATCACTATTAATGATAAACTTAATAATTGACTAATTCAATATACATACAACCTTAGATTCTTAGCTACCGCTAGCATAGACGGCGCTGGCTCCAAAGTAAATTAAATATATTTTTGTCATAAAATAATAATAAACCTTAAATGCTAAAAGTTTTAGCAGGGCCAACTGAATATATAACATTTGAAATTTTTCAGTTTAAGCTTCATAGTGTGGTGATCCGCTAAAAACATCGATTAAAGTGAATGAATCGAATTCACTTATTATGAAAAAGTACTTAATAGGTACTGTAATTTTTATTTTATAATTCTATTTATTTATTTTCGTATTTTTAATTAAAATAATTATATGCTTTGTTATAATCACAATGTGGTTATTCATTTATACCAAAATATTTTAATTCGCAGTATCATTGTAGTTCGATTTCTGAGTACATAATAGTTGTTTAAAAAGAAAAAGTACTTCACTGACGAAACATTGTAACGACGTTCAGTTCTCTGTAGAACAGAAATTGTTTATTAAAGTAAATGTAATAAAAAAAATGGTAAAATTAAGCTAATTATTGTCATATTACATTAAATATTTAATCGCAATTTGTTAAGCAATTGAAGCAATTGCAATCTAAATTCAAACAAAATTAATAATATATTATGCCCGCCGTCAAATGTGATTTGTTAAATTGGTTCTACTATAGTATTGAATTAAGAGGCTAAAATACTATGTTCAGCTTATCTATTATTTTATGACATAAAATTAATTTCTTTAAAATTGTGCCACCTATATTTGGAATTAGCTAACTTGACCTATATCAGCATCGGTTTTTCAATTATTGTAAAACCCGGTTGGCGATTTTTAATGCTGCCAATTGTTAAGTTAATAATTGTTTTCATCATTGGATAACTGTTACTTTAATAGCGAATATGATGGCTTGTATATTTAGAAGATATATGAACATTAAACAGATTAATAAGTGTCTTAAAAAAACCTATTTTGTCCTCTTAAAGAATAGTCTATTTACACCGTTCCGTCTCTTTCCACCGCGTAAGCACAAGAAAGAGAGGAGTATAGCTTACATATTTCTATTCAAATAAAAAATAGTCTTCTATAGAACGTTAAAAGTTACCTTAAGTTGATATTTCCTATCAGCATCAGGGTCTGATCCGACTTGCGACAGGATCTTAATAGCAGAGGTTTTAGTCGAACGATCTGCGGCTGAGAGCGTCATCTTTCGGTGAGTGAAGGAATCGGTTGAGTGGGGCCTAAATGAAAGTTTCGTTCGGAACACCGCTTGTCCTTGGAGACCGGTACCTTGACGAACGAATAGATGGTTGTGATCGCCCTGAAAATTATTTTTAAAGATATTTATAGAAGAGCAGGAACATTTTAAATTATAAATACATTTTTTGAAGCCATCTATGACATGGGACAGAGGCATATCAGCGTCTATTTTCAAAGGAGTTGTTTAGACTCTACTCTGTAGTAAAATAATAGGTACCGATGTATACGTAACGTCGTTGCAAAAGAAGTGCATGGTTATAATATGAAATTTATGCGTTTGAGTTGTCATTATCATTATTTAAATAAATACTTATAAAATAAACAATAATATGGACGCTTGTTTCAATATGCTCCTTCTAAACTAAAAACATAACGGCTGTCATCCGCTTAGTAAAAACGCCTGGTAATTTGCATATAAGACTGGCTCTAAGCATATTTGCCAGATGTGGACGCACCCTAAGAGACCTTAGTAAACAATATTGTAAGTCACGGAGCATGAATGGAATTTGAATACTTACATGCAAAGGCTGTTTATAAACGTCGAATATCTCAGAACCGAGGTGCAAAGACATACTTCCGTCCGACCACTTCACCATTCGCGCGTTCGATTCCTTCACCGCGTTGCCTTCTTTGTCAAACACTGTTCGCCAACGAATTGTATTTTCTACTTTAAGCTTTAGTCTGTAAAAACACAATAATTTTAACAACTAATTTTTCTGATTTTATCACAAGGGCCTTTTTTTTCCCTACTACATGAATACATTTATGGCTACAATAATCTTAGTGTTCACAATGTACGAGTGTACTGTTTTTAACTAAGAAATCTTCTTGTTTTTTATATATTATTTTATTTGAAGAAAGTGGTACATTTATATCGATCAATTACACAAATCCGCACAAAAATAGGCATGCAAATGCCACATTAATTTACTAAGTCATATAAGGGGGCCTTCCAAGTAAACATTTTGTGACGACCAAGTGACTCTTTAACCTAAAAGTTACCATTATGTGGTGTTAAGTCAAAATAATATTACATACGCTAATTCAATCCCCCCCCCATTAATTTAAACGACCCCTAAATTCGATCGATAATTTTATGTTTTTACCCGTTTCCCTGTTTTTACCTCACAATCACAAACCGTGCGGGCCAATTAAAAAAAAAAAAAAACTTATAGCCAAAATTCCCCCATAAAGCCTTGCTTCTTTTATTGTGAATGTAATTTTATGTTACAAGCAGTTTTTATTATTAGTATTCTGTTAATAATTAGATTGCGAGAGCAGTTGTTGGCTTATTGGTTTTAACGTGCGACTCTCACCCCCTGAGGTCGTGGGTTCGCTCATTCCACGTGCGTATTTAACACTCGCTACTGTACAATGATGGAAAAAATGTAAAGAAACCGGATGCCTTAGACCCCCAACAGTTGACGGCGTGTCAGGCACAGAAGGCTCATCACCTACTTATCTATAAAAAAATATAACGAAACAGATACACAAATCTAAGGCCGAGACCTTAAGAAACACTGTAACGCCACCGGTTTTTAAAAAACATATTTAGCTTGGATTGTCTGAAAGAAACTACTTTTAATAAGACCGTCCATTTCTATGGTGTATTCTTTTTTTTACATGATTTTTGATATTATTTGTGATGTAAATAGAGCTATATCTTTATTATATTATTAATACAGTATTAAATAGATTCTATTGAATAGACTAAGAATTATTTAACTGTAACCTACACTAAAATTAGAAATCGGAAGAGTTTGTTTGGTTAAATGCGCTAATCTCAGGAACTAGTTAAAATTATGTTTGTGTTGGATTCTATCACCAATAAGAGCGAAGCATGAATGAGCAATGTTGCAAAGGCGGAAAAAATTATTTCTAAATTTCTTCTTTGCTTTCATTGCGTTCAGTGAAAGTAAACCAAAAATAATATAATAATGAATAGTTCCTCTCATCTTAAAGGTTTTCAAAATCTTAAATCTGTAAAGGTTTGACTCACTATATATAACATTTTTTATCATAATAAATTTGTTCTAAAGAAACTATTTTTTTCCGAACCTTTTTTATCAACACCTTATCATACAATTTCACTAAACAATATGATTTATGACAATTAACATAGTAAATAAATAAAACAAAATATTAACAGGTAGGTGACGCTGTATTAAAGACAAAATACATTACCTGGCTCGACCTTCTTCATCCAGTGTCTCCTCTTCATCAATTTCGTCTTCATACGTAGCAGGATCATAAGGCCGCGTCTCAACTGACAAGAAGTTGGGCAATTTCACAAAATGCAGCTCTTTGCCCAACTCAGTCCATATTTTGGGCATATCCACGTCAATACGGGTCTCTGGGATCTCTACTTCCTCTTCTTCTTCCGGTTTTCCGCGGTTTTCCTAAAAAAGTAACGATTTTTTAGATAAAAGATTTTTAAGGATCTGTTACTGCTATAAATGAATGATTCGCATTTAAAAGAAAAATATGAAGAAATAAACTAAAAGCTACTACTAAAAATTCCAAATATTCACGGACCCAATAGTGGGCACTTTTATAACATAACAATGCCGAAAATATTGACTACTTCAAGATTATCTTTTTAACCCACATGTAAAGTAAGCTTTTAGTGGGAAGATCTTAGAAATATGCTTGATTGGGTCAATCATCTTCTTCAATCGTCTTCAACAACTTTCATTTGCTGGATGACAGACCATTTAAAAATGTAAAAAAAACTTTAACCCACACATACTTATTAATTATTATTAATATAGAAATTATTTTTGGTAGGTTATATTAATACATATGATTTTTATCACATATAATTGAATAGTGAATTATAATTTTCAAGATATTCCCACTTGTTTACAGCACATGGCATATAACTGAGTTTAGGGTTCGACTTCAATTTCATAATCAAAAATTACTTAAAAAAAGTATGAATAAAACAGATGCAGAAATATATTTACCCCTACCTATCTCTAGGGACTTAATGCAAGACCATTTGTTTGAAGTACAAATTGTTTGAAATTGCCAAAAAGACTAACCTCATCTCCACTCCTTTTATCATCATCAGACCGTCTCCCATCATCAGATTTATCTCTGCTTCGGCTCCGACTTCTGGACCTCGAGCGGGATCTGTCAGATCGCTTACCTTTGTCTTCATCCGAACTTATGTCAGATGCATCACCAAAAAGAGCGTCGGCCGTTACTGAAAATAATGTTAATTTACCAAAATTTAAATTACACTTTACAAATAAATCAAATATAATATAATTGCTTAAGTACACTTTTAATTTTATAACACACCTTTTATTTTAGCTTCTATATAATTTGTTTGATAATGCTTTGAAATATGTGTGTCCAAAACATAAAGATGTATAATGTAGGGTCTGTATGTATAAAAATTGTGAGTGTAATAGCAAGTAGTTTTAGTACAATATTTGAGCTGAGACCTTGCAATCTTATTTATTCTGTGGGGCAACATTTCAATTCCTTTTTATAGCATCCAATCTACTTACCGCCATCCCCATCAGCCTTTTCCTGATTTTCATCATCTGAATCAAGCCTTTTGACTTTCTTCTTAGGTTTACCACTTGTCTCTGAACCACTGTCAGAATCTTTCTTCCTCTTACTACTTTTTTCTTCATCACTCTCAGAGTCTGATAATACTGCACGTTTCTTTTTCTCAGCTGAAAGAAAAAAGTAACATTTTATATAAGTCAGGTACAACTAAACAAATTAAGCTCCCATTTAATGGGTATTTTTGTTAAACTGAAAGTATTTTAGGTTTTAGTGCAAACACATTACTGCCTCGGTGAGAAAGTTTTGCTGATATATCACTTGAATAGACTACTATAAACTAAAACAGGAATATCAATTTGTTAAAGGTCTTTAATTGATGCAATATCATGATTAAAACATTTCCCACAGTAATAAAATTAAAAATAAAGGACCTATATGTTACTTTTTCATCATAGATTATAAATTACTTATTGTCAGTAAAAAATTACCTGCATCAGAAGCATTTGAGCTTTTTGAATGTGATCTCGATCTGCTTTTGGATTTACTTCTTGAATGAGATTTCGATTGTCTTGAACCTGACCTGGAATTTTATATTTATGTTTCGTAAAATACGAAATCTTTAGTATACTTTACATTACATTTACGTTTTATAAAAGGCACCTAATCTAAAGATACGAATAAAATACATGGTACATATACATATAATGAATTATAGAAAACATTACTGAACTATTTTTGAAGATAAGCATAGTAATATCTTATAAAAGGTATAAGATACTTCCCTCCTTACCTTCTTAATTTAATTACAACCACCAAACATTAAAATGACACAGTGACAGTTCTAAATAAATAATTAATCAATTAATATTCATTACCTAGATCTGCTCTTGGACTTAGATTTTTCTTTCTCCTCCTGGTCATCTATCATGAGATTTGGTGAATTTGACCGACTGTCATCTTTGCCAACACTTTTAGACCTTGATGAAGCACTGCCTGACCTAGACCTTGACTTCCGCTGAGGGCTTTCACTCGCTGACCGAGATCCACTTTTAGCCTTAGGTGCCGGTGACTTGGATTGAGATCGAGACTTTGGACTTTGGGATCTTGACTTTGGACTCCCTGAGCCAGACTTAGGGCTCTGTGATCGTGACTTTGGTGTCTGAGGACCAGATTTCGGGCTTCCCGATCTAGACCTTCCACTAACAGATCCACTTCTCGATCTTGACCTTAAACCAAAATACAATGTTGACAAATATAATTTACTACACTTTTTTTATTAAATTACTATTTGATGGTATTTAACATGATTCATGCAGTGTGTTTATTAAAAAACAAGAATGACATAAATAATTATAAATACCTTGATTTTGAAGCCCTATTAGGACTGCCAGATGCTTGAGACTTAGGACTTGAAGAACCAGATTTGTTGCTTTGAACAGATCCCGATCTATTTGATCCTACAGGTGAATTTGATTTACTTCTAGAAGCATTTGAAGCTACAGATGATTTCCTTGATCGAGCAGAGTGGTTAGATTTTGGTGACTGGCTTGCTGATTTCACAGAACCTCGAGATGCTGACCTGAAGTAAATATTATTCAAGTTATATTTTAAAATTCAATAACTAATTGTTAAAAAAAACTGAAATTTGTTTTATTATTTATTGTTGTAGACCAAGACCAGTATGATAAAAACCTTAAGATACAACATGAAACACTTAATTAGTTTATATTATAGCTCACCTAGACCTACTACCTTCTTTCCCAGATGGTGCAGGACTGCCACTTTTACTACGGCTGCCACTGGATCCACTATCTGAATCTGACCCAGAGTCAGTTTCTAAAAAATAAAAACCATTCTAATTAGTTTAACAAAGATAATAAAATGACTAGAACCTACAACTTATAAAATAAATATAATCATTCACCGTTCCTACGTATAGAAAAAAGAATTATAAAGTCATTTGATCTACACTTAACGAATACTAATAAACTAAAATTAAATTAAACATCATTTTATTTTAGTTTATTATTAGCCTTTAGTTATTACCTTCACTCCCCCTGTTAGTCTTCGGAGACATGTTTATCGATGATTTCTTTTAATTTCAACACATACAATAACAACTATAATATATTATTTAAATAGAAATTAATAAAACTCGATTAACACTAATAATTAGAAGCGGTTATTCGTGTATTTCTCTATACAGTTTAAGGTTACGCATAACATAAATGCATTAACAGTAAACACTAAACACTAAACATGTAACATCTGAATTTAAGCAAACCTGAAACCACAGATATATAATATACTAGTCTATGACGTCAAAACAACAGACAAAACGTCAAAACAATAGACACTATAACTACTATATACTATAACTACTAATAAAAAGCAGCATCCAAACAAATAATAAAATTTTAATATTTAAAACGATAATTAAAACGGTCATTTTTTTATATAAGTATTTATTATATTATTTATTATTGATAACAAAGAAAAGTTATATGTGATATATAATGCTGGTAGAGTACGCTGTGATCCCGAAAACCTTACGATATTAATTTATCATCTCTGTTTGTATTACATAAAAGTGAAAATCAATCACTAGATGGTAGTATTAAAAATTATGTATTAAGAAAATTGTGTGGTAAAGCAAGTACGGTCTATTAATTTTTATAATATAGTGTGCGTAGTATAAATACCTTAAGTAAATTCTATTTCTTCCCATTAATCAGTTATGTATGGTTGAGGTTTTTCTTGTTAAAAAAGTTAACCTAAGTAAGTTGTTTATAAGGAGGTTACTAAGGGGTTTTAATAATTTTGTACTACGTTAAAAGTCTACATATAATACAATATACGCATATACATATTATTTTTGGGGCCTATTTGAAAAACAATCATTGTTTTAATTGATGCATTTAAATAAAACCTAAATGGTAATAACTTACCTAACCATAAATATATATAAAAACTACTTAACTTGACTTAATACTCTATATTAGGGACTCATGCAAAGTTTACTCTATTATAATAGCTATAGAAGTTAGAACATTCACCGTAGTCCCGAGTAGGTAGGTACGTAGCTGCGGCCTGCGAGCCGGCTGCCGACCGGCGACGGTTGTAATCCGTAATTTTTTCTTCAGTTGAACGATGGCTATGACGGTAGATGTGTGTGCTTGCCTTTCGCAGCATAAAAGTACGTTACTTCGGGAACTATGTGATACAAATGTATTAGATGTGCTGGTGAAAAAGGGTTTATTTAGCGTAAACGATTTAGAAGTAATTACCAGTGCTAGTGGTAATGAAAAGTGTAATTATTTTATAGAAGTTGTTAGTAAACAAAGCGGTGTGAAGTTACAAGAATTGTGTGCTGTGTTGAACAATGAATGTCCAAAACTAGCTAAGGAACTTATGAACGATCGACGGAAGTATGTTATAAATGGTAAATGATTGTTTAAATTCGATAGATTTATAGCTTTTAGAGAATTTAATATTAAGTAGGTAGTTTGAAAGTTTTTAAGTATTTGAAGGCTTGAATAATACTGCCTCCGTAGCTTAGTTGGAAAGGCACGTGGCGTGCTGCATTCAAACCTCGGGGAAACCTTTAGATGTAATCACATATACAATATCGTTTTGTCAGTAACTTGCCTACATAAAGTATCTTAATATTTAATTCATAACGACCTCTTTTATCATAACGTTCTAAACATAAAGTAGCCTGAATATTTTATTGTTATCATTACTGAGATGCTTTACGATTGTAAAGCCACATCAACTTTATAACTAGAACTCATAATAGTGAGCAAACTTGAAAATTGTCTTAAAGTTAGTTGCAACTGGGTTAAATTGGTACTTTCGAAGTCATAACAAGTTATAAGTTAGGGAAAAGTATAGTACCGAGAAACGAGTAGCCTAGTTTCTATAAAACCAAAGTTATTAAATACTTTGGTACAACTTCACAAAATGCCCTGAAATTGCCGTAACAATTAGACTTTGTAACAAATTTCGGTAAGAACGATATCGAACGATCCATTTGAGTCACTGTAAATATTGCATTGAAGATATACTTATCGTTTAGAGAGAAAAAGTTATAGACAATAATTCTTATAATATATATGTATTATATTATATTAAGTTAGTTTTAAAAAATCTATAGAAATAAAGGCTCTTAATCCCTAGTGATATTTGTCTTGATGCAATTTCCTATTTCTCGTGAAATATTCACATAATAAACTGTTAGAAAATTGAATAGTGCGGAAATTAAATTATAATACTGTGTAATAACGTAAACTGTGACAATTACACTGATTGAAAAATTGCATGTCGATTGTCCAAAAGAAGGGGAGAACTAGGGAGCATAATAAATGTGAGGATAAATAGACTTTATTTATTTAATATAAGGTTTGAAATCATTGTTTAGTGAATCTATAAGTTTTAAGATCTATGCGGGTATGGCTGGTGACCCCATCTTTATGAGACCAATTCTATTAAAAATTACGACCTCAAGCCCCGTGGTACTTTATACTTATTCGTGGCTATTGTGTATGGTAGAGTAATTAATGAGAATTATTATATTAGAACAAAAGGTATTTGTGAGTTACGAGTTACGACCCAGGTACCAACTTGCAAATGAATGAGGATAACAAATCAAGCGTTACTCACAGCCGTCAATTATATTTAAAATATATTTTTACTAATATTAAAGAAATGGCCAGTCAGTTACGGTTTAATACAAGATTTGTTAGCGATTGTTCTGAGGAGCATAGGGCAACAAAAAACCTTTTGGACCCACTTCAAAATATCAAAAGAGATGGTTAGCTAATTTAAAACTTTACCCAACGGCTAAGTAACCGTTAACTCTTAATAAGCGACCCTGAGCACGGCTGCTACTACACAAAAGAGCTAAATTAAAATGCTGTGTTTTACCAAGTCAATTTTATATTATTTAGCGTAAATATGTTTGCGATCATTCAGTTAGCAGGTAACAGTTTAAGTTAATCTTAATTTGATTTTGTATTCCGGATAAGGATACATTAAAGGTTCTAAATTCAAATGTAGTTCTCAAAAAGGAAGTTGCCCCTCCCGGCTAACCCATAAGAGAGATTGATAAGAACTATGTTGACACTTCCGATCCTTATGTAAATGTCTTTTGTTTTACAAAAGTGCGTCGAACTCTGTCCACGATCCGTGATTGTCTCACATTGTCGACTTCTGAGAAACTACGTAGTTCCAAAGCTGAAGGAAATCTAAAAAAGTACTATCAGTTTTTATGGTGATATTCTTCATATACATTATTAGGAATAGAAATAGCATAAACTTATTCGAAATACCTCCCTTATTTTTAATACAGGCCCTTAAGCGCCGCGGCCGTCGTCTATCGCAGCACCACCATATTCATGTCGATTTCAGTGACTGAGTTTTTTAAAGACGACTGCAGACTCTCCAAATTTTTATGGGGTGTATCACAGACCTTCCTCTCTAACCTGCCAAAATTTATAGTCCAAAGGATTAAGGTCGACTGGGAGCCAATCCTCATGTCTATTAAATCGATGTTTTGACGCTCAAACCAGGCTTTAGTGGTCTTAGCTTTGTATGCAGGCTCAGAGTACTGCTGGTACACGAAGTGATGTCCCAAATAGGGTGCTGACAGGTCTTTGACAAGCGATCCAAACCGTCTCTCGTACACTTTACTCTGGTTTTGACCCCTTTTTGCAAAAATGAACCTCAGTTAGCCCGTAATGACCTCCCACCAGACCATTACTGATGATGGATGATGTCCATGTTGCACCTTTGGAACTTTAATTTTAGCTTCTTCAGAACTCCTAGCTACCTTTCAATCTGTTTATTGTACTTCTCTTTAATATCGAAATTTTTTTCGTCCTAAAGAGGATATCACGGTGTCGGTTTTTCGCGTACCGCTTAAACAACACCCGCGATCTCTTAAGCCTTATTGCTTTTAGACGAGCATTAAGTAAGTTCCCACTTTTTTTTGTATGCTCTAGACCAAATCTTCATTTAAAATTCTTTTTATTGTTTTCCTACTGACACCCATCTGCAAAGCCATCAACTTCTGTTTTCGGACAGAATTTCTTACTATCCGCGCTTTGATAGCTTTGATTACTGCTGGTGTTCTTGCGGAGCGTGGCCGGCCAGTTCTTTTCTTGTCCTCAACACTGGAGCTTCAAGGTACCTTCAATAGTACCGTACACAAACCTAAGCGTTATATTAAAATTTTTGAGCAACTTGAAAATGGTACTCGGCGAGTGCCCACACGGTGCAACACAATAACAACTATTCGGTCTTCTTTCAATGTCCACTCCGTCGTGAAAAATTACTGAAAGTTATTGTTTTTTATTTTAAAACAATAGTCAAACATTCCAAAATGAATGCAATAACTTTTTTATAAAATCCTGCTCGAAATTTAGAAATAATGTGCCAGGACAAACTTTGGGACCAACTACGTAATGTGATGCCATAGTAACACGACACAATTGAACAAAACACGGCTTAGTGATTCATTGGGAATCATTAAACCAAGGTTGGTTAAGGTTTTATAATCAATGTATCCCATATGGGGTATTATATTTTTTTTGTATATATAATAGGGGGCAAACGAGCCTACGGGACGCCCAAAAAGGGCAGTCATCGCAGCCCATGAACGCCCATTTTTTAGTGGGTGCGTTGCCGGCTTTTGAGGCAGGAGTACAATCTAACTTTGATATTATATATATATATTTAAATGCTCGGTCCCTTGAAATTCGTTATAAAGAGGGAACACGGTTTCGTCGGAATAGAAGCTGCTGCCGTGTTATATGTAATGTGTGGTACAGAAATAAAACTCAAGTAAAAATCGCCCGAGGGTTTTCACTTAAATATCATACTTTTCCTCCTATAATAAAGTGAGATTTGATTTATTAAAGATCGTTTAGAAATCGTTCAAAGCTGAGGTTGTATCCAGTGTCCACGTTAAATAAAAAGTTATTTTTTGATAAGGGCTCCTCTTCTCTCTTCTCTCAAGGGATCTTTTATGATTGCCATATATGAATGACAAATTTGAATTTCTAAATAGAACTTGTAATACATAGACCACTATAATGTATCTATTTTAATACGATCTGTCTCAATTGGGCGATTGACTGCCACGACAAATAAACTATTGACTGTATTAAACGTTTTCAATTTTTCAATTGAAATTGCTTAGATTATTCATTTAAATCCAGTAAAAGCATTTTTTTAATATTTTCCTATGCTAGCGTATTACAATGATAATAAAAATAACGATAGAAAAGTATGCTTTTAACTAAATATCTAATAATTTAGAAGAGAGCTTTTAGCCTACGTTTCAAAAAGGCATGAACTATGCTAGAATATAATAGAAATAGCCCCTGGTCGTATAAATCCTATGACATAGCCTTATTGTCTATTGCCTAGCAACGGAAGTCCAAGCCACTTGTCTAAAGCATAGGTATAACCGCAACCCTCAACGTTCAACGAATAATAGCGCTGGCTGTCCAATCCTGGTAAACACATTTAAAAAAAAGTGCGTGCGTACAAAGTACACATGTCAGAGGTGTATTCTTTGGCAAACGAATTTTAAGTCTTGTTCATATTTATACAAATCTAAAAATTTAGACTTCCGTGACTTAGAGGGAGGGAAAAAGGAAGATATGTTAGGAATTTAATGAATTTCATTGTCATTAAAATATTAAAAGTGTCGAAATACAAATTAATATATATGTTTTTTAAATTTATTTCTTCGATAATAAAAACACATGGCATTTTAATTTACAATTTGTCATTTGAGATTTCAATAAATTATTTTGCATAAAATATAAAATACTAATATTACATAAATTCTCTTTACGAAATTTTAATTTTAAAAATAGAATTTCTATAAGGTAATTCACCCTTCTCACTCTCTCAATCGGTGTCTCCCTTTTCTTCGACAAAAACGCTGCCTGCACATCTTCGTGACTCATGCGCCTAAAGAAGTTTCACTTCAAAAATATCTAGTATAATCACTTTTCCACCTATCAAGAATCTTGTATAGACTAAAAAGTTGTCAACAAAAGCTAAGCGGTATTTTCACTGCGTTTAAGTGCCAGTACCGTTACAACTTTCAAATCAGCTAGTGCCTTTACAATTTGGCAAACTGTATGTCGATTTGACTCACTCGTTGTCAAGGACAAGTAATTTGAGCCACCACGTACCACAGATGTTCGTGATTTAACCACTTGTAAATTATGCGCAATTAAGCGACTTTAAAAATGTACGTGACTTAAAAAGCTAAGTGAAATAGACGCGGGAAGTGAACTATTTTAGCAATTAATGTGTTATTGCAGTCAATATTTTATAACAGTGAAAGTATGAAGAAAATAACATACTACTATATTTATGTTTTTGAACTCGAAATAAGTGGAAAAAAGATTTACATGGATTTGAAAATTAAT